GTCTTTAAGTACAGTTTTCCTGTCTAATGAATCTTCGTTAATTTTATAGTCATAAGTCTGTTTATATCTCTTATTAGTGAACGTTATAACAAAACATTTTTTAACATTGAGGTGCATACCGTTAAGCCGGCACCATTCATATATTGAATCTATATCATCTTGTAGTTTACCGCAGTCAGAAAAGTCCTGTATCATACGGTATATTTTCAAGTCGTCTGCATATAGAAGGCAAGGACTGGACAGTTTGCAAATCAGATCGTTTATAAAAATTATAAAAAATAACGGACCGTGATGTGAACCCTGAGGAACACCAGATTATTATTAGGTTATTTATAGGTAGTATTATTTGTTTGTTTTGGGTATAATTTTTCGCATTAGTTATACATATATTTGTTGTGTTTTTTACTGCGCGATGAAGCTTTTTGCGTGTATTTTCTTTGAAGTAAATGCAAATATAAAAATTAAGCACCATTAGCATGTAAGGTTTGGTTTGAATTGGGCGTTTAATTTGGTCTATGGTCGTCTAAGGCCCGGTCGGGTAAATCCGCCTATAGGCGACTAATTCGGCCTCGACTCTCTAACTAAAATGACCATTTATTTTTTAACTCAAAACGGGACATGGGTTTATTTATACTCTGAAAACTATAACTTTATACAATTAGTGTTCAGTATAAAATTATATTCGGTATAGACGGTAATTATTAAATGCAACATATTTTTTTTTAATTAATAATTACATTTGTCAGTGGATTAAATTTGCTTTAATAAAGTTGGTGATGATTTTAAATAAGAATAAAATTCTGGCCAAGTTTTTTTTATTGTTGCCTTTGTTAACAACATCGCCTTTAGAACTGGAACCGTAAGTGTTTTTTTTCAGACGTCCACAATTTATTCAAAATAGAAAAATACTCTTTCTACTGGAGCATTTGTACCAGGTAGACATAAAATATATTCGATTAAAAAAATTATGTTGAAGACTGTTGGCTTTGAATACTTCCATCCAACGAGTTACGGGACATTTTTGTGTCCCGGAGCTTTATTTGGGGACAATGGGACAGGTGACCGAGAAAAGGGACAGTCCCGTTCAAAACGGGACGTATGGTTTCTTTACCTATAACCCGGCGACGGCTCCGTGGCGCAGTGGCTTAGCAATCAGTTGCTGCGCTGGGGGCCGCGGGTTCGAATCCCGCACGGAAAAAGTATTTGTAAGGCCTATAAATAATTGTTCCGGGTCTGGATGTTTGTCCTTGTGCAATTCATGTTTGTAAACTGCCTCCACGACTCTCATTCTATATTACTCTCATTCTGCGAAACATCCTATTTATTTATTTATTCTTTATTGCACCAAATATTTGTACAAAAGGCGAGCTATCTATCTATTTACCTATAGTGAGTAGGTATCTTTTAAACTCACAATTTTCAATGCTTCATTTTTAATATATAATTAATTATAAAATTTCATAATTAGATAATATATGAGAATACGTAATTCTAATATAATGCAACTAATATACCGAATAAAAAAATTAAAATACATTTATCGTTGTACGCTGTGTGTATTTCCATAAAATAGTTCATTGATGTTGAAAAAATGCTACGTTCGTACAGTAGGTGGCGTCTTACATATTTCTTAAACGATATATTGTAGCGAGTCGGCGCGGCACACCAAATGTTCAAGGTCGTTCGCATGGAGTAGCCCCTTAGTTGACCAACTTCCTAAATGCATTTGGATAAGTAATAATTTCGTTACATTTCTTGGTATAATCAGCAAATAATGTTATAGCGTGGATATCATCTACAGCCTATGGCAAGAATATAAACTAAAAACAGGAATGGGCCGAGAGCTGAGCCCTGAGGAGACAACCCGGAAGAGCATTTATCGTTGATAGCAATTTTCTGCGTTCTTTGTTATTATTCTGGGGTACTATTACTTAAATAGGTTCAAACTTTGAATGAAAGTTTTGTATCTTAAATCTACTACTACTACTACTACAGTCCGTCACAAGTCCAGTATTGAACATAAGCCTCCTCCATAGATTACCTCAAAGTACGGTCCTGACCCACCGCAACCATCGAAACAAATAACGGCATAGGTGTGACATGGACGCTAAACATGACCTTCGTTTTGTCCATGTTCACCAATCCGTTGAAAAACACTACTGAGGTCGTTGAGCTTAATGCTAAGGTCCTCCATGTATTCGCCATTTTTGTCAACTTAGAACCTCTGAAGAGATTGCAGCACCGCCCAAATTTCGACTAAATCGAAAGGTTTCTTATAGTCCACACACGCCAAACAAAACGACAGATTATACTCCTGTCTTTTGTATAACCTGCCGAAAGGTATGGTCTATGATACTAGACTTTCGTAAAATGGCTTGTTCGGGAGGCTAAAAATCGTCGAGTCTGCATGAGAGACAATTCGTAATGACTGGAAAACAACACGTGGGCGGCTCAGAAGGGAAATCGGTCTGTAATTCTTCAATAGGGTTTTATAAATTTCTTGAAAAATAAAACTATCACACTTCTGCTCCACTCCTCCGGCGAAGCACCACCGTGAATGACAAAATTAAATAGCTTCTGAAGGACTTTTAAGTAAAGGTTCACCACTCACTTTCAGAAGCTCTGCTGTAAATCCATCCATACCTGATACCCTTTGCCGTTCTTAGGTGCTCGAGAGCCATTTTAATCTTGCTCAGACTGACGTCCCGACCTGCTACGGATTGTGTACGAACTATAAACGCGTTTTGCGTTACGATGCGTCGGCTATCTTTAGACGTTCGTATTACTTTTAGATGTAGCCAAAATCAATATGTATCATATTATGGTTGTTTTGTGAAAGGGCGGCATCTTGCTTACTGCTACTTGTGGTATTGCGTCTTGTGATGGACCTCGTGAACTGATCCTAATTCAATGCTTATTTTTGTTCGGAGATTGTTTGGAGTTCTGGTTAATGGAGATGTCTTATGGGATCGTATACGGAACTTTGGGATGGCGTAACACAGTTTTTTTTTGATACGATTTTTTAACTCATGGAACGTTTAAGGGACAATGAAAACTTATTGATACCACACGACAGCCTATTATAATTCTAATAAAAAACAACTTACAATAAAATTCATTTATTTAAAAAGAAAATATGCATTATTCATTGTAAAATTATAAATCTAAAAGGTGATATGAATTCGTTCAGATCTGTCATTTAAATTGTGCCTATGAACACATTATATCCCTTAAATTAAACACTTAGCTTTATTCATGTTTAGCATTTAAATACTCAAAAACACAAGTATCAAATGTCAGTTCAATTGGAAAATGTTACAGGAAATCCCTAAGCATAAAAAGTATTGACTATAAAAGTATTGTATTGTGTATAAGTAAATCAAAAAACTTCAAAAGGATTTCTCTTAAGGCTTATGTAAACATATAACTTATTATAAGTTAATGAAAGCAAATAATATAAAAAACGTTTATACACAAACATATACATATAGCATCAGTATCGACATTCACCTGTGGACACTCATACTGCTACCAATATTGTTTAACAGATATGTCAGGCAATAAAGAACACAATTACTGCTGTATAACATTTTTGATCTTTAAAGATTTGTAACCTACATGTACTTCTTGCTGTAGTAAACATACATATATAATTCTAAATTTTATATAAAAGCTTTTAGAAAAATTTACTTCGCAAATATCCGCGTTATAAAATAAAATGATGTGTCTTACCTAGTATGAAGAGCACCTCCTTCATACTAGGTAAGATACATCATTTTATTTTATAACGCGAATATTTGTGAAGTAAATTTTTCTAAAAAGATTCTATATAATGGATTTCCGCAAAGTAACGCCTGATTCTATTAATTATATCTAAATTTTATATTATTGAAGGATTTTACATCAAATAAGAAACATCATAAATTATTTCCTCATGATCCTGTTAATAAGCACACAAATCATTATATTGTTTTTATTTGAATTTACACTATTCACGAAACAAGAAAGTAAGTACTTCATGTTTCGTAGAATTTATAGTAAATAATGAAAAATAATAGAATTAAATAAAATACGGCACAAATAAAAGTAGCTACTTTTTTACAGTATTACTAACTAGAAGGCATATGGTAAAACTTATTTTAAAAAAGAGATTCATCTTTCAGAAATATACAAAAATGAATATAATCTTTATGTTATTTTGATTGTTGGTGATCATGTCATTTCTGTACGACTTGACCGATTGAGGTCATATTATATTTGTTTTGTTCATTGCTATTCTAGGATCCGATAGGTGGCGCTGTAGTCAAGTTATTAACAAATTCTATATTTATGGACCAACATAACACATATTTCGAATATAGGTTAGTGCCAAATATATCACAAAATCTAAACCAAACACAAATAGGTAGGTGTGGTGAAATAATAAATTTTATATTTACATTGAAAAAAATACGAAGTGTAGTGAAACTCATCGTACTACCTACCAGAAGGGGATAACCACATCTGTCGAGTCAGCTAGTGCACAATATAAGCTTCCACATAACAGTTAGTAATAATCATTATATCTACTTACACTTATATTAGACACATTTGGTGATTAAAGCAATAATGGACGGAATGTCGCTGGACGGAATAATCATAATTGTATAAAATATAAATTAGAATATTTCATATCCCAAAATCAAACTTGCAAAGATATTAAATAAAAAAAAAACAATTTTCATACATTTTCATACTTCCTCAACAACTTTGTACGTTTATAAATAACATAGGTACATAAATGTGATTTCATAAAGTTAATAATAGGGCGGCGTTCTGCATATAATGTTTGTATTTCGTTTAAGAGGATTGTGAAGTGCCGCGAGCGGCGCGAGTAGGTATTATCAAAAATGCTATCTGTTTCATACCCCTCGCTATACGTACGTATCGTCGTATCGTGCGATAAAGAGAGTTGCAAGTCTTAGAGGCGATTTCTTTTTCGAAATATTGTTTTTTTTTTTCTATATAAGAGGGGGCAAAGGACATTGCGGCTCATCTGACTCAACTGCAACACCAGAGAAGGAATTGGAGATGCGTTGCAGGCCTGTTTCGGGCGATAACGTTATAACCCCTTTAAACCTTTACGAAATGAGACAATTTTAGTCTTATTAAATTTATTTTATTTTATTTTATTTATTCTTTATTGCATTCCTTAAAACAAAAGAATACAAAGGGCGGACTTAATGCCTTGAGGCATTCTCTACCAGTCAACCCATGGAGTGGTGAGAATTTGACGTAGGTGCGACAATATAGAATAAAATAACAGTACACAAAATAATAATTAACTACATAATACATACAATTTACTAATAAATAAACTATACATATATGACGTATACAAACATATATACAAATATATACATACAAATATACATATTTAAATACATAATATATAATTAGTACATACAAATACCTATGAATATATGCGTCTGTTTAGCAATACATATCAAATGGATGAATCAAGTAAAATGCTTTGTCTTCAATAGATGGTTACGGACCAATTTTTTAAAAACATACTTGTTGGATGTTTTTCTGATGTCATCGGGCAAGGAGTTCCAAAGGCGTGTAGCCTGAACTGTGAAGGAGTTGCCATAGAACTCGGTGAAGTGAACAGGAATACAGATTTTCAGAATACAGATACAGAAATTCAGTGCACTTTAATCTAGGTCTCTTCGTATTTCGGTTTAGTTTAATCAAATTAAATAGAAATGCTCGAAGAAGTTTTTAAGTCAAAAATTTAGATATTTAGAAGCTAATAACTTATATCATACTGAATATTTCTTTAAAATAAAAACGTGTCAAACGTAGTTTTTCGTTATATCTATACCATTTCCAAAACTGGGAAAACGTTATCGCTTTTTGTATGAAAATTTACAGCTTCACAATCCTCTTAAATAAAATATTTGAAATACAGAGATTGGACGAATGTTTTTATTTTTTCAAAGTTAAAATCTAAGTTCAATAGGTATGTGGCAGTTTATACACGACAGACAAAGATAATTTAAAATGGAGAGGATTGACTTCTTGTCTGTCACTGGTTTTCAAAAAACCTATGTTAGCTAAGTTGACATTCTACAATCGTGAAGGCCAATAGAGTTAAAATTAATGGAAATGGCATACCTCAGCGATAAGTCGTGACAGTCATGTGACTTAGCGTTGATGCCATTCATTTTTACCACGTTTTCATTAAGTCGCTTTCTTGTTTGTCTGTTGTTCCGGGTGGAATTTAGTAATTTATTTTAAACTAACTTCCCGATGAGCCGGAAACTTGAAATTTGGAATATAGCTCAAATTGCAATACAAGAATATGATAAAAAACACGTAGTAAATATTTTTTAAATAATTTTTTTTTTAAATCCCTTGTTATAGTTATCTATTAGCGCTAATAGAGCGATTACAGAGTGTCAACTTGGTTAACCCTGAAGGCATTAGATTTAACAAATGTTATGCTTTAGACTCGTGCTCCATTTCAAACCGCGCTTGCGACTCCTTCAACCTGTTGCGCTTCTTATTTTGAATATTTGTTTCTGTTAAGAAAAGTGAGGCGGTTACAAGGCACGCTACTGACCCTACAACGCCGAGGCCGAATGACCACCCTGTAACCAATAAAAATTGTCATTACACCATGTAAAAAATGTTATTACACCATCAGCCCGTGAAAATCCCGTCCTTTTTCTACAATGGCGATGACTTACACACACATACACCACGCACGCACACATGGTTTTAAGACGCGGAAATGTCAGCACTAAAATTTGCGATTTACACAAGATTAATTTAATTTAATTTCTTCTGTGCTGGCGGGGATCGAGTTCGGTGTGCTCGCCTACTGAACAAAGCTACGACGACTATGTACCTATATACTTTGCTATTACAGAACCCGACACGACGCACAAGATCTTTGAGGCATTTCATTATTTCAATAGGAAGACTTTCTGAATGTGTCATCCTGCATATGTCCGATGAAATGCTTATGCCATTAGAGACAGAGGTAGAAATAGGATTCAGTGACAAATACAGCGACAACCACAGTTCAACCAGCCCCGAAAATAGTGTTTTCGCATAAATGTTGACTTGGGACGGGATTCAAACCCAAACTGGGCAGTGTAATAACCAGATAAATAGACCATAACGTAATTTGAAGTTGCTGTGATATCTAATAATCAGATAAAATATTACAGAGTAGGACTTACCAAAGTAATTATTAGGATGACCCGGCATCCATCCCTCTGTGTTGGCAAAACAAGCAAATACTATAACAGCAATACATCCACTTATTCCTAAAATTGTAATATTGATGTTAACAAGTGTCAAATACAATTTTAAATAATTTTAGCTAATAAGCTTTTTTACTTACCAGAACCCAACATGATGTATCCTATGGACTTTATTATTAGTACAAATCTACTTTGATCTGGTCCACAACATAAAAAGAAGACGAGAACTAATATAGCCGAAATTAGTACTCCGAGTAAACAAAGTGTGAAAAAAAACTGAGTTGCTATCATGAATCCTGAAAAGAAATCAAAATAAAAAAATATTGCTTGCAAATAAGTTTAAAACATAAAAAAGGAACGATTATTTTTTATAATCTTTTATTGTATCTGTGTATGTATTTTTATTGTTTATTTATTTGCTTTTTAGTATGTATATTACATGAGATACTATTGAATACTATGTATTATATACGAAGTCCCTATTAGAGACATGCAAATTTATTTATTGTTAGGAAAGGAAATAATGTCCTCCAGACCGAATTTGGGTCACACGGCCAGTCTCAACGGATACTAGCCATCTGCGGACAGAAATATATAATATATAGTGGAAAGTATATGGGCAAGCACAAGTGCACTCCCTAATCTCTCACTCTCATCTCGTCCGATGGGACGGTGTACGAAACGGCCGGATATATCAGGAGAAGGACCTAAGGCTTTACGTGCTTTCCGGGGCACGGGGGTGTAACACCACCAACTTCCTGACTCTGGGCAGCTACTGAGAAATTCTTGACAGAAAAACCCAATAACTTATTTTGGCCCGACCCGAGATTCGAACCCAGGACCTCATGACCAGCAACCACGTTTACGACCATTAGACCAACGAGCATAGAGGACATAGGCATATAGAAATTATATTATTGTTCACTTGGAGTTTTTTCAGTACAATCCTGACTTATAATAAGTCAAAAAGAAAAAATAAGTATACTTTCACAGGTAAATATTTGTGTACACTTAATGAAATACAAGTCAAGTATATTTAAATAAAAATCCGATTTCAGGATTTAGGAATACTGCAAGAGTGATCAATCATATCTAATAATTTAAGGTAATGGCACAAAACACACTTTTCACTTGTATAGCACTTAAGTGATTGTGGTACTTAATGTAACAATAGAATAATTCGCTGTGAAATCATTACTGGTCACAAATTTAGAGTGAGAAATATTTAGTCTTATCATCCAAGATACTTATTTAATTAATTTTTTAGTAAAACTTACCAGGAAGTAAATAACCACGAATTCTGTCATATCCAGTAGTAAAAGGGTCATAAACCCATCGGCAGCCTACAAAAAAACGTCTTTGATATTGATCTAAAGGATCAGGTAGTGATCTGAAGCAATGACTCCACAGTCCTAACCTGTAAAAGAAATCATTCTGGTAACTACATAAAACTAAAGGATTACAAATTATTACATACAAATTATTTACCACATGCTCAGCGGTGGAGGAAAACGTGAGGAAACCTGCATGTCTAAGAAATAAAAATCGAAGACTGGGAAGACTGCCAATACGCATTAGAGCAGCGGGGCTATTTGTTTCATAATCTCTTCCGAAATAAGAGCCAGCTTGAGACCCGTGCCCAGAAGTGGGACATATAGGTTGTTTACTTTACTTAATATACAAAACAGAGGTAAATAAAATTTGATTTAAGCAAAACTAAAGCATAGGCAAATATGATTTGATAACATCTCCTGTAGATGACTTTACATTTTGATTTACGGAAATGTCCATATGCCATAATTAAATGCAATATTTTGTTTATTTTTGTTATTTGTATATTGGAGTTTATATCTCAAACTAGTAAAATATAAAATATGCAGACCAGTAACAAATATCAACTGCTACAATAAGGTTAGCAAACACATCTTGTCGTCCTGCAGTCACCAATGCTGACTTTGATTAAGCGGCACCTTTGTGTAATGGAACAGTAATAAATTGCAAAAAATTATATTATAACATATTACTATATGTTATAATATAATTATAAGCATACACATAGCAGGCATATAAAAGAATCCATTTGTATGAGACTTCTATGGGAAATGCCAGAAGGACCACATGGCGTTTGATAAACGACAATATACTATATGGAACAACTAACAGCTGAAGTACAATTACACCTAGGTTTCACCGGCTACAAGTAGTAAACTAAGTATGTGACTGGTTGCTTTCAGCTAAAATTAAAATGACTATGACTTCTAATTACTTTGCAGAAATACGAAAGCATCTATCATGTAATATGAATAACAATATGTTATGTTGCATTTTAACTTGTGGACATATATATTATTACATTTAAGTTAAAGCCCTGGACATTTATATATGTATATATATCTTTATATATAAAAATTACATGTCACATTGTTTGTCCACAATGAATTCTTAAACTACTGAACTGATTTCAATGAAATTTTGCACACTGTGTGCAGTTTGGTCCAACTTGAGAGATAGGATAGTTTTTATCCTGATAAGTGACTCTCAATTTTTTTATTGCTAATCTCAGGAGTTTTATTAGGAAAGCAAATGGTCGTCGGAAAGGGCAGAACGATGTCTGCCTGGTCAGCTAGTATATATATTGAGGCCTCAATCTGGTCTCAGTACATTTCAGGCAATGTGTGCAAGAATTGCTAGACTTAATTTCTCTCTCTCCACCATCGGACAAGCAGATTCTCAGTCATTCTCCACCCCTTAGTTGTAGACATACTGTGCATTTGAACCAAATGGTTTGCTTGTTAATGCATACAGAAATGGAGTGGAATAATGTGCCAGCATTTGTCTTTAATCTGAACACAATATAGGTGTCTTCAAGGCAAGAGTAAATTTGGTTATGTTAAGTCAGTTCCCTTTACGATCTACAGCTATATTCACCACTTACCATCCTAAACCTGTGCTTGATTACTATATGGTTAAAAAAATATAATCAATTTAATATTAATGACTGCATGTAATAAAATACATTATGAAATTCACTAGTATCATACAGATAGTGTTTTTGTTTGTTCAAAATTATTTAATTACTTACCTGTCCAATTGGTTGCCTCTTATTCTTGAATCACTAACAATCCAACTAGGTGTACCAAATGCCAACGCCACTGTCACAAGGGCAATTACAAATATGGCAATGCCACAATTACCAGCTAAGCTTCTGTTCTTCATTTTCTGCAATAAAGTAGAGATACTTATATTAAATTTTGGATTATTTGTCGTACGAGAGTACTTTGCAAAGTACAGAAGAAATTTGTTTAAAGTACTTAAACTACAATGATTTACTATCATATTATAAGAAACAAAGTTAAATTGTACTAAAATCAACCTATAGCTTTTATCTAAAATACCATAAAATTATATGGTATTAGTGTTAAATGTTTTATTCAGATCATTGTTTAACCTCTAATATCTAACAAACATGTACACAATATAAATTATGTAACAAAACATTAGACTTCTTTATACAAAGACCAAGGTTATGGACTTGAGATGAATAATAAACTCACATGAATGCTTTGTATTGCTCAAGTTCTGCTAAGTGGTCTGAAGTGTGTTTGGTGTGTTACTTACAACATTACATTCACCCAGAAACACAATGACAAAAAGTTCACACGCATTGCTTAGTGGGAAACAAAAGACAGGCAAAAAATCTATATAAAACAAAACCTGAGAATGTTTTATCAAAATTTTGAATGGAGTTATATTTTACATGAGTAATAATTCTGTTAAATAAATGATGTTATAAAGACTAATAATTCATTAAATACATAAATATAAAAACATTTATATTAATGTTTTATATAAATTTTAAATAATATATGGGTGGGGCTCACAAAATTTGTACCATAATGCTCTAGAAAGAGTAACACACAAAATCGTAAGCAACACACTGGAAATTATGTAACACGCTAGAACTCTGTAAAGGCAGGACTATATTGTATTAGAACTTATTAAAAATTTTACCATATTTACAAGTACAAATAGTACTATTATAAATATTGGCATTAATTCTTAGTTGTTTTTGTTCTGACTCATACCCAAATGGAAATAAACATCACTCAAATTGTAACATTTTATTAAACCTAAAGAGGAACTTTGTTTCCATATTAATGTTACAGATTTTAAAGTTATATCAAAATAGGGAATATGACATATTTCTCCATTAAGACTAAGGTTTCTTTTTTGTGATATCACTAGAAAAAAAATTAAATATTACAATTTACATTTTTTTGAGCCCAACCCATATACTAATTTTGAAAAACTATTCTTAAAGTTAGTATATATTATTATTTTATATTACTAAATCTTGTGGTAAATTTCCATAGCTTAGTTTCTTCTCTTGAGGTCTAATAATTTAATTTTCCCAGAGTATAAATGGTAAAATAAAATGCTGGAGCCAAATGCTAGGTATCCACACTAACAAGATGGAAATCTGCCTTATATCTTTTTGTCAGATGACACGACTGCTAACCATAAGAGCTTTTTACACCCTAAGAGCCTAAATTATTAAGGGATCTTTAAAAAAAAAAAATATGAGGTACCTATCTCTTAATGTAATAAGAACACTATCCCTCCATGAACATCTGCAACCAACTTCAATCAAAGAAAGCTACAGATGTACCTTTGAGGACTAAGATGGAAAACAGGCTGTATTTATACTGGCTCACTCTACCCCCGAAACCAGAAAATAGGAGTGTGTGACGCTATTTTGCGAAAGTGGGTAAGGGGGTGAAATTAAGCAGAAAAGGAGTCCTTTTTTTACATGGTAGAGCCATGCTGCAGCGATACTACTGGTATAGTTGTAGCATGAATGGGTTGGCTCAACTGGGGAAGGACCACGCTCTCACAGAATACCACCATTAAATAGCAGCTTAATGCTACTGTGTTTGATATGTTGAGTGTAGACAACCAAAGACTCTTTTACTGGAAATGAGGCATTCCATCTTAATCCTCACGGTTGACAACGTATCTGCATTTTGATTTGTAATTGAGGATAGATGTAATGTCTATGGGCCACAACAACCACTTACCATCAGGTGGACTGTGTGCTCGTTTGTCACCGATATCCTATAAAAAAAAATCATCTAGTAATATAAAATTACAGATTATGGACTAATCTTCATTAAAATGTTCAACTTTTAATTATACTTAATATTTAGGATATAAGCTGAACTTTAGATTAACTACCCAAAAATAGCACTTTTGAATGACTACAGTTTTCAAAATATCTACTTCTAATGTATACAATAACAAAAACTTATGTATACAAAATTTCAGTACCCAAAAGTTATACTTTTTGAGAAAATTAAGAACAAAATCACAAATTTCTTTAATAGACTTGCTCATTTGAAATAAGTATAATATATTTCACATGTGTTTTGTAGCAAGTTGTGTTGAGGTTTTATAAATTTCAAATAATCAAATTTTTGCACTTTGCAGTTAAAATTAGAAGGAACAATGTTGTGTTAGTAATAAAATATATATGTTACAGTTAAAACTATTTCCTGGTCAAACCTAATTTTAGTTAATAAAAACATAGAAAAATATTTTAACCAAAGAAGTTTTGACTGAAAAAAGGTAGGTAAAAAGATTTCAACTGATATATATTGCTTAAAATAATTATCACCAAGACTAGTAGTTAAAATCACTTTTAACCAAGAAGTATTTAGTGAAAATAAGTGTTCAATATTATATAATAAATTTATTGCCAATCAATATAAGAACAAAGTAGTTTTTAGAGACATAGTTAATCTTAATCTAAAGCCCTTCCTCAATATGTATTCATGCAGTTTTTATTACATTTAGAAGTCTACTTAATATGAGAATGAAAGTTTTGGTTTCTTATTACAATTTCCTTAATTCCATAATTATTATAACAAAATAATAATAAATTCAATACATACTATAAAACATAAAATAAAAATGTAAAAAATAATTAGTGGCTAGACTTCTACCCTTCACATAATAAGTTACCAACTTTTGCTATTATTGTTTTCTAACTAAAATCAAATGCTATTCAAATGAAAAATATCTTCTTATTTGGTAATATCTATACATAGTATTTACAATAGTATGTCAATCTTACCTTATTACAATAATTATAAATGATTATGATGACTTAAGTTGTTATGTTGATTTCTTGTACGAGCAGACAAGTGCCTGATCAGAAACAAACAATATTTGTTTAGTTTAGGCGCTTGAGTAACTGATTTACGTGGTTATAACGTTCATTTTAAATCTTACCTACGTTACTACAAGTACGTCTAGACTTTGGAAGTACGTAATAAGAAGTTAAGAAGGACAACAATCGCTTTGGCCTCTAAGTTTAATGCTTTAGATACGTTATACGTTTATTACGTTACGTCGTAGGGCGTAGCCGTAGGCCATACAAATTACAAGCTGCAAGATTTTGTTTTGTTTTTGGTCCCAAGGTTTGTCACTGTCAGTCAAAAATCAAAATGCGTAGGTGATTACTGATTATATTATCTTTGTGCATAAGCATCATATTAGTCTGTCATAGTCTATGCATTTAAAGAGTTTTTTGGCGGGAACTTGATCGGCGGCGGTTTACTGCTCCTGTATTATAGTTTAAATAATAGTTTGAAGTGGATTTTGATATGTAAAAGTGATGCAATTTTATGTATTAACTGTCTACGCATGTGAACTATTAGTGGAAACGGTGAAACAAGTACTCTGTTATTGTTGTTTTTATTATTCGCTCCAGAGAGAAGGCAAAGGAACTATGCCATACAGCCTTGTCATTATGTATAATAATTATCCTTCATAGTTCACTGCTTCACAATATGTTGATGCGTCACATTGTGCAGCCCTTGGGAGATTTTAACGGCAACTTGAGCCAGCAGGCAGCTGACAGTTGGCGATGGTATCTAAAGGCGCCTATGCAAACAAACAGCTTATCTTGAGAATCCATCACCATCAGAGCACTTGTTTCACCGTTTCCACTAATAGTTCACATGTGTAGACAGTTAATACATAAAATTGCATCACTTTTACATATCAAAATCCACTTCAAACTATTATTTAAACTATAATACAGGAGCAGCAAACCGCCGCCGATCAAGTTCCCGCCAAAACTCTCAACCATAGATAAATATATATGTAGCAAGCTACTCTCAACAAGTGCTCTGATGATGACGGATTCTCAAGATTTTTTTTATAGGATAGGCTTCTTCTTCGTAATAACTGGCTTTACGGCTCTGGGATCTAGCCGTTCTGAGCCTGAAGTTATATTGTGAAGCAGTTTATTATGAAGTATAATTATACATTGTAACTTCCGGTTCAGAAGAGCTAGAAGAGCCAGAGCCGTAAAGACAGTTACTAAAAAAACTAAACCTTCTAAACAGTATTACCACGTAGAGAGAGAATAAACTATACTCCCTCTACGTATTACCAGCAGTTAAACTAACTTTCCACCATATTCAACTTATAAAACCACCAGAAAACCACAAACAAAAAGCGACCCTACTCTCATAATCATTTCCAACCAAACAAAATTTTGTTTAATACGAAAGAAAGCAATAGGTATATTAGTAATTGATTACCTTTAATATTGCATACTGTGTAACAAAATACCAATCAACATTCAATTATTAAATTAATAAGTCAACACCAAGAATATAAGACGGGTCAAATATTGGTATGGCCTCAAATAATAGTTTCGGGTAAGGTGTTTGTACTTGCGAAATTTATGTATATGTAAGCAGCTCCTGCGTTATAGGAGAAAATCCTAATATGCAGTTAACGTTATTTGAAAAAAGAAAAAAAAGAAATGTTTTATTTGATCCAGTGCTTTAAAATAAATCATCTTCTTGTGACACATTTGTTCACCTGTATTTTTGGCAAAACTTAAGATTAAAGATAGCTCAATTTGTGAGTGTGGATTAGACGAAGGTACGATCGATCATAAATTTTTTAACTGTCCTCACCTCTCCGTTTCATTATACGATTTTCTTCCTAATAACATCCTTCGTCCTGTAAATCTTGTCTTTGTAAAATTTAGTTTACACTATTTTTGTATAAACTTTATTAGACTTCATCATTCATATCCATTAATAACATTAAACTATAGTACTTTTGCCACTTACCTATATCCATATTATTATATTAGCAATAATTGTGTAAAACTATTATAATGTTAATTCATTCGAAAATAACTACATATTAAGTAAGTTCGTAACATAAAGCTAAGTAAGCGCATCTACAAAACGAAAACTAGTCAATACTCTGTGTGACTCTCATGAAATACTTGACGCTGGCAGAATCCATTGGAAGTTGCTAAACTAAGAAAAAAAACATCGATGAGCTCAGCTGAAATAACTTATAATCGTAGATAGAGGATTGACTAGATAAAGCATTCGCGTATGCTTTTGAGATAGAAATAGGCGGGAGGTACTTTCACTGGGTTACCAGATATTGTTCCATTTCCCCCGTTATGGGTTTATTTATATTCACAGCACTTACATTCATACAAAATCCTTAATTGTTACCATAAAAAAATGTTCTTTTATAATTCAGATGATTAATTGATTTCTCTTGAAAATACATTCTGTGACTAAAAACTACGGGCGGAAACGGCGTAAAAACAGAATCATCATTCTGTATTCAACGGCGCATCGACGATTTTACTGGAAATTCAATAACTCTGGATTTCGACGGCACTAAGTGAAGACGCTACTAGCACAAAGTGTGATATTGCTAATAAATAACGATATGTTATGTATGTACTTAAATATTAATTAAGAATAAAAATATTAAATAATAAACAAAAATTTCCTCGTGTCGTGTTTTCTTTTTACAAAAAAAAAATCAATAATGTTTTAATATACCAATCCATCAAAAGTTCAGTGCTGAACACAGACCTCCGAAAGGAAAGGCTTTCCACTTAGGTTTTGTAGTACAAAACACGGTTATGAGGCTACTTCCGCGATTTCCTGCATGTTTTGCTAAGTTAGTGTCTTGTGTGCGGTAAGTTGTGGCGTACAAGAGAATTTGTCTGTACACGGAATAATATTACCCCGCGTCGTAAGCAATAATACAAGATGGGGATGGGGCAGTAGCACTTTCCAGAAGAAAACTTAAAATAATAAATAACTGCGGTGGTGAACCAGCATAACGCATATTTTCACGCAGGCGTGGCAACTATGGTAAAAGTCATCCTATGAGAATATCTAGGCAAGGCCTTTTTTAGGTGACTTACTTATGGTTAGGTGGCTTAATCATGTTACCTAATGGTTAAGGTGGTAAAATGTTTTAGTTAATATACGTTGTAAAGCATCAACAAAGGGTTTGTTTTTGTAATATGTTGGTATATAAAATAAAAACGAATGTTTTATAATATTCTATTTTTATTTACCATGCAGTGTAAGATTATCTGCTACCTCATATCATTCTATTGGTGTAAAAGGCAACATAGGGAAACATCAAAGAAGATAAACAGCAGCATTTTCCTGATAACAGCTAAATAAAAAAAAACAGTGGTTGACAACCCGCTTTCCAAGCGTTGAAACTATGTCAAATAACTATAATCATGTTTATGTTCAACAGTGGATTTTGATAGACTGTGAAGATATATATTCTATTCAAATGAATATATATAGAAATATAAAAAGGAAAAAGAACTAAATTTTGTGTACTTACACAACATTTAGAAATATTAACAATGTTACATTAAGTAAAACAAATGAAAACACAATTATATATCAAATATAATTCAATAAAATTAAAATAAACGATTATTTATTAATTTTTCATCACATTAATAAACAACAAAATTAACAAAACTTTTGTCTTCTTTCTAGAGCATTCGTTGTTATTCTTGGTTTGAGCAGCTTTAGAATTTCTCAAAAATATGCATTTATAAACTTGATTTATACTTTGCATAGCAGAAATTCTTGGGTGCTGGTTGTTAGAATCGGATTAGAAAGGAGTATATATATTATATGCCTTGTATAAAATATATTTTAGTGGTATAATTAATAAGGTACAACTCCTAAACTATACTTAGATAGGTAATACCTATCTCTTGTCAAAATATTTTTATTACATTATTTATGTGAATTAAATGGAAATTATCATAATTACATTTATTTCTTAATTTATTTACACATTATTGTTTATAACACACAAATGAAAATATATTGAAATTTAAAAATAAACATACGATTATTTATTAATTTTTCATCACATTAATAAACAAATTTAACAAAATTTTTGTCTTCTTTCTAGAGCATGCGTTGTAATTCTTGGTTGAGTAGCTTTAGAATTTCTCAAAAATATGCATTTGTAAACTTGATTTATACTTTTGCATGGCAGAAATTCTTGGGTGCTGGTTGTTAGAATCAGATTAGAAGGGTGTATATAATATATACATACATACATATATAGGGTGTATATATATATATATATATATATATATATATATATTTATAAATGCCTTGTATGTAATATATTTTAATGGTATAAATAATAAGGTACAACTCCTAAACTATACTTAGGTAATACTTATCTCTTGTCAAAAACATTTTTATTACATTATTTATGACAATTAAATAGAAATTATCATAATTATTACATTTATTTCTTAATTTATTTACACATTATTGTTTATAACACCTTTATAAAAGGGTTTAAGGGTGGACTAAATGTCCCCTTGGTAGGCATTCCCAGTCAGTTTTACAATTATTATTGCATAATAAATTATTAATTTGTATATTTAGGTCAGGACTTTAAATTACTTATTTATTTCTTTTATTTAAATCTTCATTTGTATAAAACATGGTAGTACAGATAAAGTTCCAACATTTGTAAATGAGGATTCATGTTTAATCAATCCATCTATAGGTAAATATTTTGTCGTTGTCATGCAATCAAATTATTACAACTCGTAATAATACAGAATGTCAGCATTTGAAAATAAAATAAGCAATGCTAGTCAATTTTTAATACATACAGAACAATGTCAAAAATCATAACTACTAACAAGGTCAAACTTATATCACTTATGGAGAAACAACAAGATACAACAAGAAATTATAACATTTAAAAAAAATTTCTTAATTATATTATAAATTACATAAGTTAAGTATATTTAGTCCACCTAAAACAATGAGGCTCATAATGTTTTGAGCATATACTGCTAAGTTTTGTTGGTTACTTATAATTACTACCAGTAGCGATTATCCAACAGTTACGGATAGAAAAGCTGTGATATAATATATTTAATGATTCCTTAGAAAAGCTGTGAAATAATATATTTAAAAGAAATTAATATATTAAATATATAGTACACTATTATATCAAGGCACTTAACAAAAAAAAATCAAGTATGGGTATCTGTGCATAAATACAATACCTATAACAATGAATACAATATCAATTGATTTAATTAAATAGCAAGTATATGTAAATGTAATGATAATTTATTAAATTTATTAAA